CAGGGGGGCCATGTCCAGGGAGCATGGGCTGAGGGGTGCACACTGTTGGGGGGCCATGCCCAGGAAGCGTAGGCTGAGGGGGTGCACACCGTCGGGGGGCCATGTCCAGGGAACATGGGCTGAGGGGGTGCACACTGTCAGGGGGGCTGGCTCCTGGATGGGCTGCTGGCAACACCCTGAGGATGGCTCAGGAATATTCCATCCTCGCTGCTCCGAGTCCCCGTGTGCACAGCCGCAGTGTGCAAGGTCACTCAGTTATTTACACACTAGGGATGACACACGCACACCTAGGGGCACGCTGGCTCACCAGAGGGGACAGTCCCCGGGCTGGAGTGTGGTAAGATATGTTTGGAGYACGGTGCCCCTCACCTGGGGACAGAGGCCCTGAGACCGTGCCTGGCAGGGAATCCCTTCAGGCCTTGGCCAGCCTGAGAGTCCAGGGGACCTTGGATTACCCTTGACCTGTCCCCGTCAAAGTGTAGACTCCTGGCGTCAGCACCGGGCTCTAGAGCCAGCAGCCAGGAGGGACTGTGGGCCAGGCCTGCCAGGACATCGTCCCCCTTCTGTGTGGCTTCCCCTGGAGAGGCCAGAACACCTGTGGCAAAGAAGCACCGCATGAGCCTCCCACCTCCACACAGGCTCAGCCGACACCCTGGGGGGCTCCTGCTGACCATGGGGTCGCCAGGGCAAAGGTGGGGGAGTCAGGGTGGATTCCTCTCAAGCTGAGAAGAGAGTGGCCATTTGTCTCCACACACGCCACACAGCAAACACCAAGGCAGAAGCAAACATGAGGTCTTTTATCAGCCCGGGGAACAGCTGTTGGGTAAACTGCCTTCCCTGGGGAAGGGCTCCAGCCCAGGGGGAGACACACACTAAAGAAGGCAGAGTACCTGCCCTCCAGGCGTCCCGCTCTCAAACAGCRGGGACCATCCCCCAGGAAGGTGCCAAAAGGCCCCGCCCCCATGCAGGGTTGGGCGGAGAGAAGGCCATCTGCAGGGGAGGCCTCCAGGGGAAGCCCTGGGTGGCCCAAATGAGGAAGAGGAAGAGGAATCCAGGGAGTGAGTTRGAGCCAGTCTGAGAGGCCCGGAGCCCTTGGCCTGCAGGGAGCCTGCAGGTAGTCTAGCTGAGRAGCAGACATCAGGTGGTGCAGTGTACTTGGATGCCTCTGGAAGCACGCTGGAATGCCACACACTCCTGTCTGAGTGTGCAGGTGCTGGGGTTTGCTGAGCGTGGACACAAGGACGCGAGCAGGCCCCACGAGGTATACCAGGGCCTCTGGGTGTTTCACAGGCACCTTTCCTCAGAAAGTGTGCCCAGATGGAGCAGGCCAGGGGCTTGGCTCATCTGCTCCAGGACCCCGCCCAGAGCAGACTCTGAGCATGGCTGCCAAGAGGTCAAGTTTTCCAAAGACTATTTTTTTCCAAGCAGGTTTTTCATAGTCATCTGCATTTTTGGAGTCCTTCATGTCTGTCTCTGTGCACAAGATAAGAAAACGTAATGCCAGCTACAGGAAAGGGCAGGCGGGCTGAGGAAACTTGGCCTTCAGCCTTTCTAAACTTAAGATTTTACAATTTTTTTTAGTTATGCACATAGATAGACTGTCTCCTTCCCATGTCAATTAAATACCATGAGCTACCTCCAGTAGTTCCCTGTGCTCTTAAGAGGCCGTAGCTCCACTGTGTGACAAGGTTACTTGGATGTGTCCTTGAACTGGCCACAGATCCTCTGCCTTTCGGCTCCTTCTGTGGGTGGGGGGTGAGGAGATATGGCTGAGACACTGCAAGAGAAGACTGTGACCATGAGGTTGCCATCCCCTCCTGCTGTGTCTCCATAATTATTTGGATTGGTTTAATCCAAACCAAAAAAAAAAAAAAATATTCTGGAGACACTTGAGCAGATTGAGTGTAAGGACAGCAGCAGTTCAGGAGCTGGCCTGGGATCAGGGGCTCACGCTGGGCCTCAGAGGCCAGAACACACTTCTCCAGCGCATCTCCATTTCCCCTTTCCCACTGATTAAAGCAGGCCAGAAAATTACTTAAGCCCTGAGATTGCAACAACAAAGGCTTGGCTTCCCTGTTCAATCAAAACTGCTTGGCTGCCTGATTCAAATGCTAATAGCGGAGCCTGAATTGGTCCCTAAACGAGGGAGCCGCCTCCTCCACCCTCCAAATGACCAGAAACTGGCTCCTTGCGACCAGAATCCACAGCAGTCTCCTAGCTGGACATGTGCAGTGGCCTCGTGGGAAACAGTGCCGCGGTGGACTCTGGGTTTCTGGGGAGGGAAGGAAGGGGCTTTTCCCCCTCACAAGGCTCTGACCCCTGAAGACTTTGGTCTCCCCGTTAGGACCCATCTCTCCGTGTGTGTTCAACAGATCTAGAGAGCTCTTGAGCCCTTTGAGGAAGAGAAAGGCCCCAGGTTCAGAGTCTCAGAAAAGGTGGCCTTGAAACGCCAGGAGGTCCCAGTGAGTCCTCCAGGCCAGCACAGTGCCCTCTGTCCATCTCATTCCGAGATGGCCTGGCTTCTGTGTCCTCTAAAGAAAGGACACAGTTTCCCAGCTCCCTGCCAGTCTCCACTGGGAGTGGGCTTCTGCAAGGCCGATGGCCAAGAGACATGCGCTTGCTTCACACCCCCCAGCCCACAGAGCCAGTTCAAGTCCTGGCTCTTAGGGAGCAACGGTTAGCCGGGTCCTGGGGTTCACTGGGACCCCACCAGTAGTGCCAGGGACACAGAGAGGCCTACAGGAAAGTACTCCCAGGACACACAGGACCTCTGGCAGCAGGCAGCAGGCCAGGGACCAGAACGCCTTCCATGGCTGAGGACCCCAGCCAGGCTACCTAACATTCTGAGCTTGGTCTCCATCTCAGAGGGCTGGTAACCGTGCCCTCTCTGATGGCCTTCCAGAACATTTGGTGGCCTCCTGAGTGGYAATTCTCTAACACACTTATGTGCAAAGACGATTGTGGAAAGACATTTAAATTAGGCACTAAGGGCTGGGGTGTAGCTCGAGTATGCACAAGGGCCTGGACTTCATTCACAGGACCACAAAACAATCAAGAAAAAAAAGGCRTTAAAATATGTTTTAGAAAGGAACTCACCTTCTGGAGAATTCCATGTTTGCAAGAGAGGTTGAATACATCTGATACAAGCGACGAAGATAGATCTTACTTCGGGAATCCTTCTCACCTGTTTTACAAGGGATCTTGCTCTGTAAGAAATATTTTGTTGTGAAAGTATTTGTGCTTGTGTCTCACCTTGGAGATGGAACCTGCAGTGGTCAAGGATGGGGACAGCACGGGAGAGCACGTTATCACACACAGCAGCCGTACACTGTCATGATTCACCAGGGCTAAACGTAGCGACTTATTCCCCCTAGTTGGCATGCATAATACTTATGACATGGGTGGAAACCTTCCAGCAGTGTAAATTATCAGCAAGGTAAAGGGTGGACAGCCAGCTCAGCCCTCTGTCCTCCTCTGGCCAGGCTCACTCCTCTCGCAGTGGGAAAGAATCACGGTGAGTTTCCTCCTTTCTTTCTTCTCCACTATTGATTCTCCTGAGTCTCACTTTGAACTCAGGCCCCTCTGGCTTCTCTTGGGCTAGCGGTGCTCTGAAGCCCAGGGTGGGAGGAGAGCTGAGGAGAGCAGCGGGATCAGATCACCAAGCCCGGACACTCACCTTGCCCTGTCCAGGGGCTCGTCTTCCCGGTCTTCCTGCATCTTCTCGCTGTTGACACCTTTTCCTCCATTCCGTCACTTGAGAAAGAAGGCCCTTGGGAAAAGGAGACAGATCTTTCTACACATCCTTCAGTGCCACCGTCAGCCAGGAGAAGTACACCTTCTCCTCTGGCAGCTAATGCAGAGAGAAAGGCCCCTGCTGAAAATCGAGGCTCGGACTCGACTCAAGACGCAACAGCACTGTGGCTCAGAACGGGCCTCCTGATTTCAGGACGTGGCGCATGTGCCTCATGATTCAGGTCTGGCTGGACGGCGCTGGAGCTGCCCCTGCGSCCTGACAGCACCTGGCCATGTGCAGCCTGTGCTGGGTTAAGCCCACACCAAAGGCCATGTGGATGGTTTCTGCTCACTTGTTTCTGCTCCTCTTGCTGCTGGCTTCACGGGTTTGGGGAATTTCGGTCTGAGCCTGCCATCAGATTTTTCTCTGTCATTTCTTCTAGAACTATCTCCTGAGGAAAACCAAAAGGGTCCAGTGCAGTGGGCAATTGGAGCTCTCTGGGTCAAAGTCCAGCTATGGCTCCTTTTCCATGACTACAGGTAGGTGGTCTGGCCTGCAGCCTCACTTGACTCCTTTATTTTGCCAGTTTAGACCTCAATACCCATGGATTGTGAGGACAAGAAACATGGTGTGTAAGACTTACACAGTGTAGGAATCCCATGTGCATTAGCTATTGAGCGGACGGCTGACATCTCTGCCCATGTGGCCCTTTCAGAGAAGGCTGGATGCCTCTCTGACTCCTCCTACCTCCACGATCCCCTGCAACAGCCCTGCCCTCACCGCAAGGTATCCCACATTGTTTCTGTTCTTGGGACACACCAAGCTGGCTCTTGCCCACAGCTGTTGAGAGCCACAACCAAGTCAAGATGGCGCCTGGCATTTTGCCAGAAGGAGTGGTTKCGAAGTAACATCAGCGAGCCATTAAGATGATGATAATTAAGTTAAACTGTGTATAATTATTAAGATAATAATGACTGATTGCTGTAACTGGATGATGCTAAATTGAAACAAGCTGTGTATTCAGTTGTGTATATAAACCTCTGCTGTCCGGCAATAAGGGGGCTCCTGCTACCTTGGGTGCCTGATACTTTTGAGTTCTCGCAGAGTTCCCGTTGAGTTCCGGTGGAGTTCCCGTTAGTTTCTGGCAATAAAGTAGTTCCTGTTTGAACCTACAAGTGGCTCGTGACCTCCTGGTTGTTTGTGCCCAGCCAGACTGCGGCACACAGCCTTGGGCACCTCTGCTCCCTGGCCTGGAAGGTTCTTCCACATGATGTTGTCATGCTGGGCTCCTGCYGGTCACTGCAGCTCTCCTCAGTGGAAGACCTCAGTCACCCCATCAAAGCAGATAAATGAGAGTGAGGGTGGACATGACACTGTACCAAAGCACTCGCCTATATGCACCAGGCCCTGGTTCCACCCCAGCACTGCCCAAAATAAAAAAGATGGAGTGGAGCCGGGTGTGGTGGTGCACGCCTGTAATCCCAGCACCTGGGGAGGCGGAGTCAGGAGGATCGGAAGTTCAAAGCCAGCCTCAGCAACTTAGTGAGGCCCTTAAGCAACTCAGTGAGACCCTGTCTCTAAATAAAATATAAAATAGGGCTGGGGGTGTGGCTCAGCGGTCAAGTGCCCGAGTTCAATCCCCAGTGTCCAGAAAAAAAAAAAAAAAAAAATGGAGTGGAGGCTGCCTCACTCATCCAGGGCAGCAGGCAGGACATCCAGCAAGGTGCAGACAGAAGCAGCCGTGCACCAGGTGAGGAAACAAGGACTGGTGTCAATGGGAGCCAGCACCCGCACACAGCACCCGCAGCAGATGGCGCGGGTGAAAAGGAAGACTCGGGCAGAGCAGGCGGAGATGCAGCCCCGCCACGGGCATCCCTTGGCCACGCTGAAATCCTCCAAATGGCGCGGGTCACCACATTATTCTAATGATAAAGCATCATTAGAAGCTTTATCGAAAMATGAAGGATCTTCTGGCTCTGAGGGAGCACTGTATTCCTCCAGGGAAATCATGGTCCACACAGGTATGTCATCTTTGTGTCACTGTGACAAAAATATCTGACAAGAACAACTTAGAGGAGGGGAAGTTTACCCAGGGCTTACTGTTCACAGGTCTCAGTCCAAAGGTGGACAAGTCCGTTGCTGTGGGCCTGAGGGGAGGGAGAGCATCGGGGCAGCAGACCCCAGGGGAGGACATCAGTGTTCCTGTGAGAAACCTACATCCTGGAACTGCCTACATCCAGGAACCATTGAGGAGGTCCCCTCTCGCCACTGGCTAGACCACACTCTCCTGTCAGGCTGCCTCTTCATGAGGCTGAGCAAGAGGCCCTGGGTCCCACCGTGTCCCTACTGTCACTTTGCTGTGGTGGGCTTGCCGTTCTCGCACATCAACCCCTGCGTAAGCCTCCTGTATGAAGGGCAGTTTGTCTCGAGAAGCTGAGAGCCCGTCTGGAGGACACGGCTTGCACTGGTGTATTGAGCAAGCATGAAGGGCAGGTGCCCAGTCAGAGGTGGGAGGAGACCTCAGCTCAGAAGAGCCTGGACCTGGTCAAGAGAGTGGAGAGTGTGCATGTGAATGTCCCTCCAGGGACCCGTCTTTGCCCAACAGGCACCTGGGTGGCATGCAGATGGCTGAGTTTGGAGTGTGCTAGCAAGGACAGTGATGAACAGGGGACCGMGTGGTGCCACAGGGAAGAGGGAGGACGTGTCCCTGCTCCCCAGGGCCCGAGGCAGTACGACCCAGTACATTCATTGCCAGGGACGCAGGCTTGCAGGAGCAGTTTCCTCGTGGCAGATTCGTGGCACTCCCGAGGCCCGAGTCTGCTCTGCAGGGAATCCACTCTGCTGCCTGCCGAGCTGGCTCCCGGAGCGCCTGGCTTCCATGGGTAGAACTCATCACAGGCTGGCATTGCCGGCCACATCCACGCCATGGCCCAAGGTTGCTGCAGAGGGGCAGGACTTAGTGTCCAAGACCCTGGCACGGGAGGAGCTCCAACAACGAGGAGGTAGACAGTGCTTCTCCAAGAAGCTGGAACAGCGCCTGCAGGACGCRGAGGCGGTGGGGGTGCAGGGAGTGTGCCTGTGGCTCCTTAGGAGGACGTGCAAGGCCCAACCAGAGGCCTGAAAGCCAGAGAGATGGGGGCCAGGGAGACAGGAGTGCTGTGCGGGCTGAGGCCTACACGCAGAAACACCAGGAAGGTACCGCAGGGTTCGAGGRGGAGGCCGACACTGTCATAGAGGCACTTGCCACCATTGTCTGGGTAGATACCCAGGTGAAAAGAGCAAGAGTGGACACCAGAAGGCCTTGGGAGGTCAAGAGGCAKACAAGGGTGGATGCAGCCCAACGTGGCCATGGTGGAGTGGCAGAGAGAGCTGCCAGCTGAGAACTGCTGGCAGCCTGGGATAGTAGCAGGACATGGGGGCGGGGGGTCAGCCAGGATTCGGCTTTCCCATAGCTCTTCCCATTACCACCGTTCAGCCTCACAGCAGCCTGCAGCCCTAGCACCTCACAGCTGGCCCCCACGCATGCTCCCCACAAGCTCACTGAGCAAGGCCTCCCGAGGAGCAGGTAGTGTTGGATGCACACACATGTGTGTGCGCGCGCACACACACACACACACACACACACACACACACATCCAGGACTTCTTATGCTAAAGTACCTAGAAGTGACAGATCAACTAAACTCTTGGAGTCTCTTTTTAAACAAAAAGAGAAAATGCTGGAACAAAGTGGCAAAAGAAAGCAGCCACTGGACACTAAGATCAAGAAGCAGCTGTAAAGCCTCAGCTTTAGTCCGCTCCTCACGTCTCAGTTCCTTTATGGTCAGAATCAGGAAGCCCAAGGAAGAAGCCAATGTGGGCAACGCAGCCTAGAGCACCGTGCAGGTATGTGTCTGTGCAGATGCCCACTGCACCTCCAGCTCAGCAGCCTTCCCCATTTGCTCATCCTGGTGTCATCTAGGACACAGAGGGCCATCCAGAAATGGTATTAAAATGCTGGGGACCATGCAGACCTGAGTCTCGAGCGMTGGGAGGAAGCAGATCTGTCCTTGTAAAGTAGCCGGTAGCCGCTCTCAACATAATACCTGGGAGCCCTTTAAAAAGGGAAGAGGAAGTGGTCAAAGTCATGCTTTTTTGCAAACTTCAAAGGTTGCCCCCTCCCCCCTCTTTACATTTTACTGTCTGGGAGCTGGCTCGTCTGCAGCTGTTGGCAGAGACTGTGTCCCGGCGTCAAACCTGCCTCCTCACAGCCCATAAAATTACAGCAGGGAAGCTTCGYAGGTGTGGAGAAGGAGCAGTGCCCCTTAATGATCTCCCTGACACCCCAGGCTGAGCCGCCCCGCAGGGAGAGGGGGTGGAGGAGGGTGGCAAGGTGCCCTGCTCACACAGCCAGGGTGCTGGGTCCGCTATTTACAAGTGGAGTGTGAATGGACCACAGCTGGAGAGACACACGGCCCCTGACCCCCAGAGATCCCCAGGTCCCATCACCTACCAGAAGAAACCTCAGTGCAATGCAAGTCCTGGGTAGCTCAGACCCTAAAGGAGGGAAGCGGAGGTGGGGGAAGCCAGATTAACTCAGACACTCCACCATCCAAGGTCAGAAAACGTCACACAGCATCAAGCCCCATCATAAAGTACTTCTGAAAACACAAGATTGTTCTTCCTCATCAAACTGGGAGAGATGGGTAAAAATCAGACGTGTTTTCAAAGAYGTCAGATTTCTGTAGGTATTTATAGGAAACATTTCACCCTTCTCTTCAAGTGATAGAAGAAATTAATAATTATAGAACACCTATGAGCAGACTGTAGTGAGACTTGGCAAATCACTAGCTTATCATGCCTCAGTGTTTTGGGCCAATATTTTGAAACAGAAAGGGGAAAACAGAAAAATCACTGTATCTAAAGCGATCTTAAATGGTTTCTATTGGTACTATTGGGCAGATTGAAAAATRCATGTATTTCTTTAAAGAAATGGAAAAGTGAACACAGCTCTTCTGCAAAAGAAAGCAGGGCAGGACCAGACAGGGGCCACCCCAG